GGTCAGGAATGTCATTGAAAGTTTAAATAAAAGTAATTTCCTTAAAAAGCAATATCTGTGTGAAGTAGCTGGTCCCACTAGGTTAAAGATAAAAGGCAAAAACATTATTATATCTAACTACCGTATTACAGGAACCGTGATCGTATATTAGCAGCTGCCTCTCCCCACCCCCTCCATGTCTGAATGTCTGCCCTCTTAGATTCTTCTTGTAGAGATTTTGTCAATGTGGGCCTTAAATATTCCTTATGAATTGATGGCTTTTACAGCCTTGTTTATTAAAACTAATAAAGTCGCTTTCATTAGAGAATCATAAAAAACATTAGCACGTGGCGCCACTTTTTACTACCTTTAGCTATTTAAGGAGGCTGCTGCGTGACACAGTTCACTGCCAAGATGCCCGCGATAATTCTCATGAAAAATGAGGAAGTTTACAGATCCGTACAAGTTTGATGCTAAAGATGGCGACACGCTGTTAGATTTTCATACAAACCTTCATATGAAAAATTCTGGTCAGAACATTCGACAATGACATCAGAGACTTGGCAAATATTTTTCGAAATTTCATTTGATTTTAACATTTCAACCACATTTACTGTAATATTTGCGTCCCTTCGAGGAAAAAATCTCCATCTTTTTTTTTCGTCGCTATGGTAGAATTTGATAGTGGATTTGACCCCCATTAACCAGTCCAAACAATATTCTATTGGTGTATAGTCAGCTTTACATGCTGCCTTAAATTATGAAAACTACAAATATATCAGATTTGTTTTTTAGTTTTTCATTTTCCCCATTAAAAGTCTTACCCTCTTTCTGTTTCATTGACAACTCCACATTCACTTTGGATTTCCCAATTCCTGGTGACCACACAGAAAGTGAAGGAAAATTTTTTACCATGGGGTCACTGACAATGATAAAAACATTATGGGTTTAGGCTCTTATCCACTTTATCCAAAAGGGCTTTTAATATTTTCTTCATTATTGGAGACTATGGAGGCTCAAAATTTCAACAAACAGCTGTGTATTCTCCCCATAGCAACGAGTACATTTTAAATATATCACACGCTTTATGATACAGCACAAAAGGTTTATATTTACGGTTTAATACATATGAATTAATCCCATTTGTTCAGTAACTGCAGATCGTATGGGTTATGAACAGTCAGGCAAAACAGTCAGACTGTCCATGTGGATCCGAGACAGGTGGCAACCCTAGTCTGGAACCTTTTTTTTGTTGGGGGGGCGCTAGACAAATCCCAGGAGCCACTTAAAGTAAACCTGTTAAGAACCAGAAAAAAATCGATCAGTAGATTCAGAGATGTAGGCAGCTGAAGTTCTACCCCCTTCTTCCCCAGCCTCCTGATTGGGCATCATGACTCCCAATCACATTTAGACCAATAGGTAGGTTCAAGAGGTGAAAGGGAATGGGCCTATGTTGGAGTATATTAAGGACGGATTAGATTAGCATATAACTCCAGCTGCCTTGATCTCCAGATCTACCAATTTATGTATTGTGTTCACAATGCATTTCTTTTATTCTTTACTGGTGTTTCTCAAAGTTTCTTGCCTTTTAAAAAAAAGTCTTCAACGAAAATAGATATGCAATTGCAGGTTTTCTTGTGCCTCCAATTGACCTGACACTTTGTTGTCCCTTTCTTGCAGTGGCTCACTGTACATTTTATCCAAATCTCACCCTGCCCCCTCCTGCATCTGAAGCCTCTTTTTTGGGCATTGAAACCTCCCACCCAATTAAAAGACTAATAGGTGGGTTCAGGAGGTAGAAAAAAGGTGGGGCCAATGTAGGCTTAAGAAAGGGAGCGATTGGCATATCATTTTGGCTGTTCATATCTTCAGATCTACTGATTTGTTAATTTCACCGAGAATTAACTATTAATACTATTTGCCAGAGTTTCCTGGTCTTCAGACCAGTTTAAACTAAGCCTGGATACAGTGTAACTTCTATGCTTTCATTTATTGTATTACCTGTAAAAATCCCCACCAAAAAATAGAGCTGTTGCAGTGTCTATCCTCCCGACTCCTATTGATACAACACATTGGGGGGAATTAAAAGAAACACTGTAGCAGACAGAATCTATAGCAGCTGCCAATGGCAACCAATCCGCTTCTCTCTTCAGTTTATTCGGTTAGGCTTTAAAAATGAAACAAGCTGATGGCTTGCCATGGGCAACTGCTCCAGATTTTGTCTTCTCCAGTCATTATGAATTCCCCCCTTTGTTGCTCCTTTCCTGTGTTGGCTTACTCTACATACGCACTCGTGTTATAAGTCTCTTAGAAATTCTGCTGTATACTGATTATCACCTGTGTTATTCCCACTGCTAACTACCACCAATGACCACACCTTTTACTAGAGCGGAGGACCTGTCACAAGCCACATGGTCTAGGGACCAGAATCTGAGAAACGTAGGTCCACAAAATTGAATCCATATGAGTATGACTTGATGTGGATGCACAGCAAATACATCTTAACTGCAAACATTTTCCCTGAAAGGTGAATTGCTTCTGTAGCTCTGATAATCATATACACCAAGTCATGGCAGTTGGAAGGTACTGGGACTGCTGTTGGTAAAAGCAACAGCAGTTACCCAACAGGTTGAAGAAGCCAGCATGAGATTCCACTTGCAAGCGGCCACAAGAAACTGACATACCAGTTTTGGGTTGAGTTGTCCTTTAAGAACGTTGTTGGAGAGCCAGGGGGGCTCTGTAATGATTTTGCGATTTGTCCCGTCACATAATGTTACAATACTGTCCGCACAGACCCTTCAGCTTTACCTTCCTGAGTACTCCTGTCAGTTGATGTATTCCGATCACACAATGATCATAACATATATTGGGTTCATCTTGTCATGTCCATTTGCTGCCAGTCACACTGAGCTGTGTCAAATTCTATCAGATCATAATACACTAATTACATTTTAGTCATAGATAAAAGCAAGCATTTGCCTTGGTTGGAAAATGTCATTTTACCCCATGCTTCTGGCTGATTAGCCCCCTGTAAGAATGCTCTTTTAAAGGGCAGGGTGTAGCTGCTGATAGCTGGCCTACATTCGCAAGCAGAACAATCCCCCACTGTGCTATCACTTCATTGTTTCCCATGCCCACGCTGCTGCTTTCTCACCAGCGTCAATCCATATAACCTTTTTTTTTTGCACCATTTTGCATTTATTTTCAGTTCTGCAGTCTTGCTGCGTGCCACCTGGTAACTTGCTGTAATGAGTACACAGGCAATCCATAACAGGTCTATAATCGAGTTTCTCATTCAGCACTCTAAATGATCAAACTGTGTAGTGTCAGCTCCATGGTTTTTATGAATGAGGCTACTCCCTAGTTCTATAATGTTATATATCATGTAGTTGTGCTATTCTGTTATGCCTGCTATACTGCACAGACCAGAATATATGGAGATTGATGTATAGAAAGGAGACTGTGTTTAAACGTATAAATAGCCTGTCAATGCTCGATACAATAGCTATCTGCTTTAGAAGGTTGTCGATGATGGCTTTTAATGCAGAACGCCTTGGACGGAGAGTAATGCCCTACCTTACGCCCCCTCACGATATCCATACCATACCCTCAATATAACCTCAAATCTAAACGTCCATGAAACCCTAACCCGAAAACTAATCCAACTCTCCCTGTAAACCTAACACCAATTCAACCCAACCGTAGCATTAAACACTAACTAACCCTCCCTGTAACCAACAGTGAAACCTATTCTAACCCCATCTAGTCTTTTAACACCAACCATAAGCCTCTAGTTTTGGATAATTTAGAGAACAGTCACCCTTTTCCCTTCACTTGCATTTATTATGTTTCTTTTGAAGAGAGAGTTTCCCTCGCTTATGGCCTGAAACCAGGGCATGGCAGGGGTTTTAACTGTTCCCTACACAACCATAAAAAAACTAGCGATATACTTTATTACCTATTTTGCATACTTACCCCTTCTTTGCTAGGATCATCTGGGCTGAAGACCAGCCACTCTGCATTGAAAGATATCCACACCTGGATCCTGATACTGGAGTCTGTGCCCCATGCCTCTCCTGGCTGTTGTACTGATTTATTACCTTTAATGGTTAAACTTACTGACCTAAAGCAAGTATGTGGCTCAGGTGTTCCACCCCAGCTTGCTGCATGCTTGTTCTGGGTCAGTGGCTCTAAACTTACTGAAACCAGAGACAACAACCTCAGGAGTAGAATATTCAGGAGGAAGTCAGTAATGGCACCTTCTGCATTTCCCAGGCAGATTCAAGAATAAGTTTCATGATATGAAACATAGAGCGGCTAACAGGCTGGTAGGAGCTCACAGGCTGGTAGGAGCTCACAGGCTAGTAAGCTCAGAAACGTTTGTGACCTGCATGGGCTTTCTAACATGTTTAAAAATCTATATGGCAGTCTCCAATTCTTCCCTTTTCTCAGTGGAACATGGAAGGAGGCTATCACTGGTGTAAGCTGAATACATTTACTGGAGTTGGGGAGAAGATAACGGTGGGACCTGGTGGTGTGTAGTTCAAGATAGAATGGGAACATCTCACTACATGTAGGTCTCAGCAAAACATCTGCCTTTGACCGCTCTAAGGTTTGGTGAAAAGGAAAAGTGGAAGCATTATCTGTTACTGACATCATCCATATGATACTGTAAGGACCATTTCTAAACTGTTGTGGGTTTAGAGTCTAGCACACCTTCTGCAGTCATAGAAGTACACATGTTCCCGAAGACCATTCTTGGTAGCAAGTCAGTAAACCCTTCAGTATGCTTTTCGCTTGTGCAAGAAAACTAGAATATTTTAAGAAGACACACAGAGGGGAGGAACAAATTCCATATATGCCGTGACCCGGGTAATTATCAAACCCATGACCACTGTGCTGCAAGGACTCCATGTTAGCCACTGCCCATCTGGGTGTGGGTTTTCTTGAATTGAAATGATGAGAAGATAAGACCTGCTGAGAGCTTGTTTTATTCACATAAATGTTTGTTGTTGTAACAGATGAGCATAACTCGAGCATGGCGATTCGACCTTCTTCCAATAAGATGGAGTGGATTGTTCCTCTAATGGTTGTCTCTGCCTTGACCTTCTTCTGTCTGGTCCTGCTGATCGCGGTGTTAGTCTACTGGAGGTAAGACTTGTGACTTTCTTTTATAAATCGTTGTACCTTAACGTGATATTTAATCATTTCATCTACAGAGTTCGGATGACGGAGGCCCACTGTCCTTTACAATGAGAGGCAATGATATAGATATGATTTTCCATGATCTGAACATCTTGCATAAACATGTTCACTGTTTTTTGTATACCTTGGATGAGAGCCCATTGAAGTTATTTGCTTGTTTATGGAAAAAGAAGCCCAAATCTTGACCCAGAACACATAGAAGTTATCCAAATTTACTGCTGGCCTGGGAATTCTTTGGAATTCTCCAGGAAGATCACTAGTGCTTAGTTGGGTAAACGGAAGACTAAGCTTCCATAACTACCACTAGAAACACAGTGAAAGGCTTATTGAATGGTTGCTTTTTTGGAAAGAATTTTGAGAGTAATCTTTTGAGAGGTAGTATCAACCTTGAGGACAAAGCTACATGCAAGCAGGGAACATAGCAGAACAAGTTTATAATTCACACTCAGAATTTGGAAGACGTTGAAGGTGATAAGTCACAGCCTAGACCTCCTGTCATGTTGCCTTAAAAACTTTTTTTACACTCAATGAAGCTTAACACAACCCTGTCACTGGAATAATATTTTTGTGTTCCATCTCCAAATAATAGAGTTCATACTTGCCTTCCCCATGACCTGTGTCACTGATCTTGAAGAGTATCTTCAGACTCCAAAACACTACTGCACTACTGTGTCTAAAGTTGGCCATATACCTATATATTATCTGCAGATTTTCTGTAGTCAGATGGAAAAAGTGCAACAGATTCCTCCATCTACGCTAAACTGTGTGTATGGAGGAATCTGCCACTTCAGTATCTTGCTAGTCGGTCCCGCTGCTCTCAAAATACCTGAATAATGCCTGCATCTAATCAGATTGTTCAGGTATTTTGGCCCAGTGGGAGATTCCTCCAACTACACCGTTTAGCGTAGATGGAGGAATCTGTTGCACTTTTTCCATCTGACCATAGAAAATCTGCAGATAATCTACAGATGTTGGCCAGCTTTAGACACAGTAGTGCTGTAGGGGCCACCAAACCACTATGCACATCTGGGGACTTGGCACTCTTTGGACAAGTGCCAGTCCTTTTTCAGGTTGAATGACACCCAGGCTCATTCTACTCACTTCCTGACAGCCCAGAGTATCATGGACACACACGGCCTTGGAGGGTGGGGAGGTGGGGCGGTGCAGTGCGTCATTAAATTGGCCTGGGCACGCAGTGCAAAGCTGCAGAGAACAGTGCTGATGGAATTACGATTGGCTTTTAAGAAGATATATACAAGGTAACTTTCCATGAAATAATTCATTTACAATTGCAACTCTAAACTGAAGAGTTTTATGGACTTTTGTTTTGCAGATCTCTTTTTAGTGACCCTGAGATTATAATCCATCAGAAGGCATTTTGGGGTAGATTTTGTATATAAAAACTAGTCTTGACAGCAAAATAACATTTTATCAGTAACTTATTTCTGGTATTTATCTACAAGTTTCTGGCTACTACCAACATTATCCGAACTATGGACTTTCATATATTTGATGAACAGACATACTTATCCAATAGATTCTGCTTTGAAGTTTCCCCTTTCAGATTTATCCTGGCCTAGAGGGCACGTTTCCTCAGATTTAACTGTACTACTTCCACTTTTGATGTGATTTTTTTTGACTGCGTGCCAGGGTAAAGTCGAACGTGTGTCTAAAATGCTCCGACATTCAAATTTTCTGAACTAATTTAAATGTCAACTTTTCTTCTCTTCTGGAGCGGGGTGGGAGCTGCGGCTATGTATTCCCAACATGTCATTCTGTTCAGTCAGCCGTGATTAGAGGTCTCTGTGAGAGATTTCCTGCCGCATCCACCCTGGCATTTAGAGTTTGTTGCCTGTTTTGAAGCAGGAGGGGATATTAAGCATGTTTGCTGCCTTTTCAGTTGCTCATTTTGTTTATTCCTCCCCTTAATCTGCAGATTCATAGAAGGATTGATTCCAGATGGTGTTGAAAATCCTTCTTTTTACTCCTTCAAACATCTTATTTAACAGTCAGTTTTGGTGTGTGACATTTTCCGATGTACTTTATTTGCAAAAGTGCCTATTTTCAGAACTACCTCTTCATATTGGAAGAGTTGGCCTTTCGCTGAAAGTCATTAGAAATCTTGAATCATTCAGTTGTATGAAGGGGTGTTGGGAACACGGGTGGGAGATCGTACCAATTGAGATGTTAGGGATGAGCTGTGTGATTACTCCAGCTTGATTTTGCTGTGAAATTACAGATTTTTTAAATTGGGGACATTTTGCTGCCACCATAGGAAGAAGGCTATGGTTTTATTGTGTGTGTGTGGGGGGGGGGGGGGTGTTTCAGTTTAATTTGTTTAATTTAGGCTGGGTTCACACCTGGACGTACTATAGGCGCGGTTTTTCAGCTTTTCAAACTTCCGCTGGTTCCACCCCCCTGCGACGCGGCCGCTCGCAAGGGACGTAACCCGGAAGACGGCAGCAGCCGGAGGACACAGCGGGGATCGCGGACAAGTTAAGACCTACTCTGTAAACCCGAGTGTGGCTCAAATACCTGAATAATGCCTGCATCTAATCAGATTGTTCAGGTATTTTGGCCCAGTGGGAGATTCCTCCAACTACACCGTTTAGCGTAGATGGAGGAATCTGTTGCACTTTTTCCATCTGACCATAGAAAATCTGCAGATAATCTACAGATGTTGGCCAGCTTTAGACACAGTAGTGCTGTAGGGGCCACCAAACCACTATGCACATCTGGGGACTTGGCACTCTTTGGACAAGTGCCAGTCCTTTTTCAGGTTGAATGACACCCAGGCTCATTCTACTCACTTCCTGACAGCCCAGAGTATCATGGACACACACGGCCTTGGAGGGTGGGGAGGTGGGGCGGTGCAGTGCGTCATTAAATTGGCCTGGGCACGCAGTGCAAAGCTGCAGAGAACAGTGCTGATGGAATTACGATTGGCTTTTAAGAAGATATATACAAGGTAACTTTCCATGAAATAATTCATTTACAATTGCAACTCTAAACTGAAGAGTTTTATGGACTTTTGTTTTGCAGATCTCTTTTTAGTGACCCTGAGATTATAATCCATCAGAAGGCATTTTGGGGTAGATTTTGTATATAAAAACTAGTCTTGACAGCAAAATAACATTTTATCAGTAACTTATTTCTGGTATTTATCTACAAGTTTCTGGCTACTACCAACATTATCCGAACTATGGACTTTCATATATTTGATGAACAGACATACTTATCCAATAGATTCTGCTTTGAAGTTTCCCCTTTCAGATTTATCCTGGCCTAGAGGGCACGTTTCCTCAGATTTAACTGTACTACTTCCACTTTTGATGTGATTTTTTTTGACTGCGTGCCAGGGTAAAGTCGAACGTGTGTCTAAAATGCTCCGACATTCAAATTTTCTGAACTAATTTAAATGTCAACTTTTCTTCTCTTCTGGAGCGGGGTGGGAGCTGCGGCTATGTATTCCCAACATGTCATTCTGTTCAGTCAGCCGTGATTAGAGGTCTCTGTGAGAGATTTCCTGCCGCATCCACCCTGGCATTTAGAGTTTGTTGCCTGTTTTGAAGCAGGAGGGGATATTAAGCATGTTTGCTGCCTTTTCAGTTGCTCATTTTGTTTATTCCTCCCCTTAATCTGCAGATTCATAGAAGGATTGATTCCAGATGGTGTTGAAAATCCTTCTTTTTACTCCTTCAAACATCTTATTTAACAGTCAGTTTTGGTGTGTGACATTTTCCGATGTACTTTATTTGCAAAAGTGCCTATTTTCAGAACTACCTCTTCCTATTTGAAGAGTTGGCCTTTCGCTGAAAGTCATTAGAAATCTTGAATCATTCAGTTGTATGAAGGGGTGTTGGGAACACGGGTGGGAGATCGTACCAATTGAGATGTTAGGGATGAGCTGTGTGATTACTCCAGCTTGATTTTGCTGTGAAATTACAGATTTTTTAAATTGGGGACATTTTGCTGCCACCATAGGAAGAAGGCTA